AAAGACTCAAAAAGAATTTAGAAAATAAAAAGAAAAAACCTATTTATACTGGTTATGATGACGAAGAATTTAATTTTTGTGGAGGAGAAATTTCTAAAAAGAATATCTTATCACATTATGATGAGGAAATCGAAGGAAATAAGAGAACTGTATATAACTTTAAATAGTTTATATAATTTCTTTAATTAATTTAATATCAATTAAAAACTTGATCTAATAATTTTTATAGGGTTTCATGTTGGGTAGTGACGGTACTGTTCAATTAAATGAAGATGAGCGAAGGAATGAAGTAGCGGAGAGATTAAAGTCGAAACCGATTTCTTTGTCTTACGATAGTAATATCATTTATATACTATTCAACAAAATACTATATTATAATTAGAGCTTATTCTTTTTTTATTTTATTTTAATTCCATAGAGATGATTGAAGTTAAAGATTATTATACTAGAGAAGAAGCCGAAGTCACTTTCAAGAAACCAAAAGTATGTCATATACCATTTAATTTATTTTTTAAAAGAGAAACCAAAAATTCATTAACCAAAGTTAACATCAGTTTATGCATAATAGACTAAAAAGAAGAAGAAAGTAAGAAAGAAGGTTGCTGATGATGATGAAGAACAAATTATAAATGATCCTAATACAATGGAAATCGATAATTCACCTTCTGTAGTAGTATCGAACCAAGTTAGAAAACGAGAAAGTTTCAATGATGTTAGCTTTGTCGATGATGATGACCTTCAACAAGCTTTGTCAAGGGCGAGAAAAATGGCAACAAAAAAAGTTGCAAAGACGAGTGTTGAAGAAATTGCCAGAAATTGTATGTAATTCATCATTATGATTTACTATTCAAAAATTATTATTTAATATTGGATCTCTATTTCTAAATAGTGACAGAAATTAAGGAAGAGCCTAATGAAGATGATGAGATGCCTGGCGAAGGATTAGTTATTTCTGACACATCAGAATTTGTTAGATCGCTTATCGTTGCTCCAACAATAACCAAACCTGTCGAGGCTGAACCAAAACCAGTTCAACCGGTCCAACTAGAGCCGGTAGAGGAAGAGAAAGAAGATGGTGAAGCTGATGATGTTGAAATGGATGAAGTTGTTGAAGAAGAGAAAAAGGGTGGTTGGAAAGAAGCAGGCAATGTAGAGGATAGTGATATGGCTAATATTCAAGATGAACCAAAATTGGTAATTTACATTTACTTGATATATTTATTATCATAATATAGGTATCTAATTATGATAAAATTATATTATCTTTATCTTTTTTTTTTTTATTCATATCTATCTAGACCGGTGTAGTTGAAGAAGAGCCTTTGGTTAGTAGTGGGATGGCAGCGACATTGGCCCTTTTACAACAGAAAGGTATTTCTCAATCAATTTATTATCTAATTAAATCGTAATATTTCTAATAAATTATAGTCATCATCATTATTTTATATTTAGGTTTTTCAATTAAACCAAATGAAGAACAACTTGAAAAAGAACGTATTCAGAGAGAACGACATAAATGGCTTGCCGAACAACGCAAGAAAGATCTAGAAAGACAGAATGAACGAGAGAAAGAAAAACAACGGGCAAAGGAGAAAGGATATCGCGGTGGTGGTGGTCGAGATAGTGAAACCAGTTATCGAGATCGTGAGCACTTGCGAGAAATGGAAGCAAGATTCAGAGATTATAAACCAGATATTAATTTGGAATATGTTGATGAGTTTGGTAATCAACTAACACCAAAAGAAGCTTTTCGACAATTGTCTCACAAATTTCATGGAAAATCTTCAGGAAAAGCCAAGACGGAGAAACGTCTCAAGAAGCTTGAAGAAGAACGTAAGCTAAAAGCCATGAGCAGTATTGATACGCCATTGAATATGGCAACAGCTTTGCAAGAGAGACAAAAGGCTAGCGGAAGTGCACATGTTGTATTATCTGTTGGTAATCGAGCGTATGTATGGAATTTTATAATCGATTGGTTATTAATTAAGATTTCTTACCAATTTTATGTTCTTAATATTTAGGGTGGTTCCTCCAAGCATGGTAAATAACAATGGAAAATCCTCAGGGTCGTCCAAGTCGTCAGGAACTACTTCAATTAATGGTCCAAGTATTATTACAGTTAATGGTGGATTGACGGGTCAAAGTATGAATGCTCCTGAAAGAGAAAAGGTATAATTTTTTTTCTTTCTAGGTAATCTTTACCGTCTTGCTCTATAAATAATAACCATATTCTTTGCATTAGGTAACGTTTGGATTGAAGCGAAAGGCTGAACAAGATTTAGAGAAACCACCCAAGAAATCCAAGGATCAGTAATTTGATTATGATTAAATTTTTCATAATCTATTATTAAAGCAAGGGAAGAAGTAAAATATCAAGTTTCTCTTTTTATATTAAAAAATTTTCAGGAATGTTAATGTACCCATAATAATAAAGTAAAATAAACAAAAACAATTGTACAATATTGAGAATAAAAAATATGAGTAGAGGTTGTTGGGTTTTAAATTTGGGCATTCGGTTGTAATAATAACCCGAAAAACCGAATTGCGATAAGTTTGTAATGCAATATAATATTAATAAAAATATTTTGTCTTTGGTTTTTATTAAAAGAAAAATATTTAGATATCTCGAGGAAAAAAATGATTACAATTTTTCTTTAAAAATAAAACTTGATTCAATATAATTTACGTTTTACTAAATATTTCTGAAGTTGCAGAATGAATAAATATTTGATGAGATAAAATATAAAGCTGCTTTTGTTTACATCGCACCTCTTAAAGGATCTTCTGTAGTTCTATTCGATTCATTAAAATCGCACAAAAAAAATTAGCAAATTCATAATTGCACCACATAAAAATAGAATCGTCGTCGAAATAAATTCGAAAATACAAAATAATTTATTAATTTCTTTTTTAAAAAATAAAAAAATTAATATTTTAACGAGTTTGATTTTAATGCATAATGTGATCAGATACTTGGTAAAAGCTTGGATTACAAAATAGACAGAATGATTAAATGTAACGCGTTATTTTTTTTATATTATTAGCGAAGAGATAAGAGAGTATCGTAACTTGGTTTATTAAATAATTATATAATTATAAATTTTCTTTTACATCAATATTAAAAAATATACAAAGAACATTCTCATTAATTAATTTAAATCACAATATGCTAATATGCTTGCACTTAAGCTGTTTACGGTGATTGTAGCGGCACAACCACTTTTATAAAAAAAAGATAATTTAATAAAAAAAAATTATGCAAATTGAAAGAAAGAACATACCTAAAAAAAAAAAAAAGAAATAATTATTTTATAAAATGAAAATAAAATAAAAAAAAAAAACAACACGTATCTAAGGCCGCGTAAACTCAATTTTTCGGTTCATGTAACCCGCCGGGTTACTTTCCTTGAAAAAAAAACACAAAATGATTTTTATAATGATAAATTTTATTTCACGTGACAAAATAATATTAAAGTATCGTTTCCAATGCATTTCTTAAATTCTGGAAGATAGAGTGTTGTTGATGATTTCATTAATAAAAGCAAATGCATTTCTCAAAGGTCGTTCTTCATTAGGATTGTCGTTTTAAATCGATAATTTTAATCTCTACAAAAATGCCATATATTTTCGATGCTTCATAAACTTTACATTTTTTCCCACATTTTCTTTGTTACCAAATTTCATATTTCCAAAATATACTTCAAATTAACGTTCCACAACTCCGGTTCAAGTGTATCAATAGCAAATGTTGCAAAAAAAATCTTCGATAGTTATCTTTTCTTTTATAGTCAAACAAAATAGAATTTTGTAATTGGCACTTTATAATAAAATTACCAGTTAGAGTTCGAATTTTACTAAATTTATGTTCGATCCATATAAATAAAAGCCGGGTGCCGGGTCATTTACAAAAAAAGATGGTAAAAAAAGAAAGAAAATCTTACCTATGTGATTGCGATCCAGACCGAAAGAAATCGCCTAGAAAAACTAATCAAAAAAAACAGTTAACGAAATAATAATAATATTAACAATAAATAATAAAAATTCGTCTAAAAATAAAAAATCTTACCGCAGCAGATAATACTGACCCTTCGTCCAAAGAACCAATAACAATTAGAAATAATTAATTACCAAAAATAAATAAAGAAAAAGAAACCTACATATCATATACTAGAAAAATCAAATCATTTTATTGCTGCAGCCGTATAAACCAAGAGCGAAAAAAAAACCAACTTACCTGATACCCGCGCCATCCAATCAGAACTTAAAGAAAAGGGCGCGATCGTAGATTTCTA